CTTCGGTCTGGCACCAGCCAGCCTTCCGGGGGGGACTCCCTTCCTGGGGTTCTGCTCCTTCAGGGGGTCCTGACAGGGGGTCTCGTTGGCCTGAGCCCACCCTGGAGGATCTGGGTTTGAGGCCTGTCCTGGGACCCCCGAGAATGCAAGGAGAAGGGGCCGACCTGGGGAGAAACTGCCCGACACGCCAGCACGGCCTCCAGGCCCCTGCCTGGGGGCTCCTTCCTGGGCTGGCGGCTCCAGGGCCCACCCACGCATGCTCACTTGTCATGCACACACACACACACACCACATGCATGCACACACGTGTACACACGGGACACACACTGCAGGCACTGGATGGGTCTGCGGGGCTGGGAGCCTGGCCAGGTGGGTGTGAACCCCCGCGGGCACCCCCAGAGTCCCAAGCCCTCCCCCTCCAGCCCCTTGCCCACAGCCGGAGCCCCCTCCCCCAGGACAGGAGCCCTCCTCCGACCCCACGGGCCCTCTCCCAGCTCAGGGTGGAGGACCAGGACTGAGGACCTTGGCCACAGGGACCGTGGTCCCGTCTGGGCAGCCTCTCCCCCACGGCTCCCCTGACGGAAGGAGCCCCTCCGAGGGCCGCCCTCCCCTGGGTGAGTGCTGCCACCTACTGGCATCCTGGGCGCGGCGTCGCTGGGCCGGGAGGAGGACTCTCAGGGACGTCTGTGGGTCCCAGCACGGACGGACCTTTCACTGCCCTGCTCTGTGCCCATCGCCCCAACCCCACGAGGGGCGTCGCCTATCACCCCGTTCTGCTGGGGAGGAAACTGAGGTACAGAGAGCTTGGGGTGCCCCTGCCCGGAAGGAAGTGGCGCAGAGCCTTCCCGGGCCCTGGATGAGTGGCCCTTGGCCTCCCCCCCACACACACACACGCGCACACACACACACACACACACACACGCAGGGCCGAGAGTCTGAGCGGGAGCCCTGCTGAGCGGCTCTTCCTGCCGAGTTGACCCCTGGAGGCCAGGGAGGGCCTGGTGGGAGGAAGGTTCCAGAGAGTGGGCGGAACAGCCGCTGTGCACAAACCCAATGCAGCCGCGGGGCCCTCGCCTGGAACCCTCGGTGGGAGACCAGATGTCGGGACTACGGCCCCTCACCCCCTCACCTCACTCAGGGGGGCCCAGCGGGAGTGGGAGGTCCAGGGGCTCGAGGCGGAATGCAGGTGCTGAGGTGGGAGGTGGCTTGGAGGACCAGGGCCCGGGCCATCCCCACCCACTCGGACCCCTGCACCCAAGGGCCGGGCTACTGGGTTCTCCGGCCCAGAGGCTGCTCCCGGCGGTGGCGAGAAGACCGCAGGCCCAGACGGTGCGGGAGGAAGGAGGCCACACTGTCCAGGTCGAATCACTGTGTTTTACTAAGTGTGCAGGGCCCCTGGGCACCCGGACCCATCCCATCCCCGTGGCAGTGGAACTTTCCAGAACTTTGCACGTGCGTCCCGGCCACCAGATTCCACTCCCGAGCCCTCACTGAGAGTGCATCTGCCTGACCCCGGCAGAGCGAGCAGGCTGTCCCGGGAACCACTGCTCCTCGGCGACTGTCCTTGGAACCGGCGACGCGGTGGAGGCGCGGTGTGAGGCGGCGGCAGGTTTGAGGGGAAGAGGCCCGGTCGCTGCGGCACAGAGCGCGCCGGGTGCGGGGCACATACGCAAGGCATGAGGGGTGTTCTTTGGAGCATGAGCAGAAGAGCAGACACAGCCACGGCGCAGCGCAGGTGGGGGCCGCGGGCGGGCGGAAGGGAGGGTCCGGGTGGACGTGCGGGGAGCCCCGGCCGGTGCGAGAGGGAGAGGTCAGCCCGCTCTGTGCCCTCGGGGGGGCGGGAGCCGGAGGCGGGTCCGGTGCGGTGCCCGGCGGTCACCCAGGGCTCACAGGCGACCTCAGTCAATCCCCTCAACATGCATTAAGGCAACAATGTTATGAAACCGTCAGTCGTGTGGGTGGCACACGGTGACATGGGCACACCTGCCTGCAAGCCCAGGGCCACCCCCAGGAGGGCCCCCTCCTATCCCGAAGTCCTCATCAGCCGGGGTCACCCTCACAAGTGTCGGAGACAAGAGACCACCCAACTCCTCGAAAGGCCGCAAAGAGGGGTCCCATCTGCCAAGGAGCATCAATTTTCCACTCTCTACCCTGTTTCCTAAAGCCTTTCGCCGACCCCCGCCCCACCCCACAGGGCAGCCTCCCAGGCCAGCCCCCCACTCACAGGACCCCTGTGTGCCCCAGGGGTCACACGGCTCCTGGCCCCGGGCCACCAGCTTTCCCAGGCCCCATGGAGAGAGGAGAGGCACCAACCCAACCCCACGGTACCGCTGCCTCCAGAAAGCCTTCTTTGGTTGTTTCTGCTTCGTGGTTGGTGGGGCCTCGTGGAGCCAGCCCCGAGGGACAGCCGTGCAGGCTCCCGGGGCTGGAAGCAGGCGGCCCACCCCTGCCGGGCCCCTTCCTGCCTGCCTCCTGCCAGTGAGTACATGCAGGCAGGTGGCCTGCAGCCCGGCTTGAGGGGGGTCACGGGGAACCGGGTTGGGCCCCCCCACAGAGGGCGGTCTGCACATTATTTACAACTTGGGTGACTATAAAACACAAATACCAACGTTTCCGCAAAGGCCCCCGGTGCCCATCACCACCCTGGGCTTTGAGAAGCATCTAGAAACATCTCAGCACTGAGTCCTTCCCACAGAGACTCCTGATGGTCCAGGTGTCCCCTGAATGTGGGGGTACGACAGAGGGGGCCCTCTCTCCCGTGTCAACACCTCGAGTCCATGACCGAGGGACGAGGCGGGGCGGCCTGGTGGGGGAGACGGCAGGTCACTAGGCTGGCACACCACAGACGATGCACGAGGCCACAGGGCTGGGTGAGGGCCAGGTGACGGCTCTGGGCTCGGACGGACGTGGGCCCCGCAGAGCGTGGGCTGCTGCGGCCGGGTGGCCGAGGTGCTGAGCGGGCTGCTGTGGCCTCCGGCAGGCCCTCCGCCACCAGGCTGGTCCCTGCCCCGTCCAGATGGCCCGTCTGGGGCCTCGGTGGGAGACTCAACATGGACAGAAGAGGGAGGCGTTGGGCCAATACAGGGAGGGGCCAGGCCCTGCAGCCAAGGGGGCAGCACCCAGCTTCACATCCGGAGCCCCCACAGGGGCCCGGACCTCCCTGGCCCAGCCCAGGCCTCGAGCTACCGACTGGCTGAGGGGGGCAGCGTGGGACCCCAGGGGGTCGCCGGAGCTGGGAGGCCAGACCTGCCCCTGGCTCCCGCCTCCTGGGACCGCAGCCACTCCTGAGGTCCCAAACTGCTCTCGCCTTAAAGCAGACAGAGAGGGAGGCCCCCGGGCCGGCACGGGCACACGTGGGTGAGTGTGGATGTGAGTGTGCATGCTTGTGCTCGTTCCTGTGTGTAAGAGCGTGTGCTGCAGGCGTGCAGACGTGAGCTCAGGCATGCGTGCTTGGTGGGGGCCGTGTGCTCCGGCTGACACCCACACCTGCCCTGGGAACGCCGCCCGGGTTCACACACGTGTGCCCGAGACAGCGGATGCTCCCCGAGGTGGGGGCCCCGTGCCAGGGACAGGCACCCAGGGGACACACGCTGGCAGGCCTGGGGGCCGCTGAGCAGGAACCCTGGTCTCGCCCCCTCCCCAGACCACCTGCAGCCCCCACTGCTGCGACCCCTGAGGCTCGCCTGCCCCTGGCTCCCGAATCTGGCCGAGCCGCTCGGGGACTAGAGACACAGGAAGCCTCTCTGGGGGACAAGGGACCCCTCCACCCATGCTGGCCACGATACGACAGGGGACACGGTGCAGTTGCCGGCCACCTGCTGTGACCCTCCCAGGGCTGGGGTCAGGCCCAGACCTGCTTGACTCTAGGACACGCCTGCCGGACCTGCCTGGGGCTCCCAGCCCGGCTCTCTCCCTGCCCAGCCCCCCGGCCCCCCTCGCCCAGAGGCAGGTGGAGAGGGGAGCAGCCACTCATCTGAGCCCCACTGAGTGCCGGGAGTGGGACTTCCCTTGTCACTGAGGGACTTGAGGCTGGAAAACACCACCCTCGAGGAGGAGAGCACAGGAGCAGACACATTGGGGCGCGGGCTGGGGGTCCTCATCCGTCCGTCCCCTGGCCGTGCAGCAGCCTCCGTGCCAGAGTCTTCCTGGGAGGCTGCGATGGGTCCCCCGCCCCCGGCTCCCCCGGGTGTCCTGGCAACGGTTAGGGGCAGGAGCAGGGACTGCAGTGATGCAGTGACCCCCTGTGGACAGCACATGCCACTCCCAAAGACCTCTGGGCACCAGCACCTCAACGCCCAGGACCCCCAGACGCTGCCTAAAAGCCCTTCCCAGAGGGCAAGACGACCCCTCCTGCTGACCACCGGGCACCAGCCACTCCCAGCCAAGCGCTCTCCCGGGACCCAGAGTTCGGGGCAGCGGCTCCATGGTGGCCCCTGTGGGGCTTAGGCTCACTGTCCACTGCCAGGTGCCCACACCGCCTGTGGGGTCCCCCCACCTTTGGGCTCTCAGCCCCACGGTGCGCAGGCCAGGAGGGCGGGGGCGCTGCTCCCCGGGTCCCAGGCTGCAGATTGGTTTCCCTGGCTCCCAAGACACCAAGAGGCCACAGCCAAGAGCCGGACAGTGGAGAGCGGGTGGGGATGGGTCTGCTCCAGTGGGGACAGGAGGGACAACGCAGAGCAGGGGTCCCGGGACTGGTGCTGGCGTGTGGCCTGTTAGGACGGGGGTGGGGGTGGGGCACACAGCAGGAGGGCTCGGCAGGGCGAAGCTTCGATCGAATTACCACCCGAGCTCCGTCTCCTGCCCCCACCCCCTGCCCCGGTCTGTGGAAAAACCGTCTTTCTCGAAACCGGTCCCCGGTGCCAAAAGGGTTGGGGGCCCCCGGCCCAGAGGACAGAGCTGCCTTCACCCAGGGACACCTGGGGGCTTTGAGTTTTTCCAGCAGTCACAGCCTCACCCAGATCTGGTCCTGTCAGGGCCCCGTGGGGGGACAGGCGGGACCCCAGCAAAGGACAGAGGGGGAGTCTGCTCACCACACCACCCAGTCTCGGGACCTAGAACACAGGCCCGGCCCAGGGCAGTGCCCCCCTCCGCCTAGCACCCCTGGCCCACACTCAGGTGTCTGTCAAAGTGCTGGCGCAGCCTGGGGGCTGGCAGGGCAGAGAAGACAAGGGGTGCCGACCCTCGAGATATCCTGTGATCTGGAGCCGCCCTTCCAGAAGCCCAGGGGGGCAGGCTCCCCCATGGAGTGGAGACCAGGGCCTGAGGGTCGCCATGCTCCCCTGTGGTCCCGAGGCCTCACCCCTCCTCTCCAGGCAGGGGCCCTGGACGCAGGGGGAGAATGGGACGTCAGCCGGCAGCTCTCTGGATGGGCACCCGGAGGCAAGGGGACATCGTCCCGTCCGTGCACGTGGACAGGCCTGGCCCCGGCCCCACACCTGCAGCCTGCGCCGGGGGCCGGTGCTCCGCCACCCCCTGCCTGCTCACACCTGGGCCTCCACCTGCAGCGTGGGCACAGCCGCCTGGCCGCCCCTGTCGGAAAAGGACCTCCGTGCACCTTCACCACGAAGACCGGGCAGCCCCCGCGCGTTGCCGCACCTGACATGGGCACCACCACGCGACTCCAAGAAAAAGACCCGAGTGTCCCGCCAGGAAACCTTGAGGCCAAGAGAGTCGGGAAGAGGCTGATGGGGCCTCATTTCCGGGGCGCAGCCCAGCCCACGTCGCCAAAGGGGCCCTCGCCCGTGGCTGAGCGCGGCGGCGGCCCGCACGGCGTGCAGAGGTCTGAGTCTGTGTCCGACTCGCCCTCCGCGATGTACGGCCGGACCTTGGCGCAGGGCGCCACGACCGCGTAGCCGCCATGCGGTGCGTCCAGGTTCTCCCTGGACTGGGAGATGCTGAAGCCGCTGAAGGAGCGTTCCAGCTCCTCATGGTCGACGGACGGGATGGAGATGGACGTGTCGCTGTCCCGCAGTGCGCTCTCCTGCGGCCGGCCTGCCGGCGCGTCCTCCAGCCGCAGGAACTCCGTGCTGGCCCGGTGGCCCCCGCTGTAGGCCGACAGCGAGCGCTCGTGGGCAGGTGGCGGGGGGATGCGCACCAAGGCACCGTGGTCCCCCACGGGCGAGGTGCCGTGGCTGTGCCGGGCATGGCCCTGCTGCTGCCAGGAAGTGGAGGGCGGGCACTGGGTGGGGGGCGCGGCCGGGGGAGCGGAGAAATTCTTGTGGCCCATGGAGCTGGTGGAGCGGATGAGCTTGACGATGCAGCCGCCGCGGTCCCCATGCTCCCGGCTGTCCTCGGGGCTGTGGTAGGGCGGCGCCGGCTCGGGCTCCTTGGCCCCGAAGTACGCCTCAGTCTCGGACGGCAGGATCCCCATGCGCTGCGTGTAGATGCTGACCAGGAAGTCCAGCTTCTTCTCCATGGACAGGACCTACAGCGGTGGCTGCTGAGTGGGCTGCTCCCCGGTGGGACCCAGCTGCCCCCTGCCTGACCCCCCACCCTGTCAGTGCGTGTAGCTGTGGCATCGCTGAGCGCAGGACCCCCCAGTGAGTCCGGCTGCCCTGCTCGCACCGGGCCTCCACCTGTACCCTGGGCACAGCGCCTGGCTGCCCCTGGCCGCCCACCGAGAACCCACCCCGTGCAGCGAGCACCGCAGAGGGATGGCACCGGCCTCCGCCCTCAGCACCAGCAGCCGAGCTGAGCAGAAGCCTTGTGAGTGGGTGCTGAAGACTCACCCCAGGACAGGGCAGTGAGGCGAGGTCTCAGGTGTGACGGGCAACCCACAGGGCCCCAGTCCACCGTGTCTCTCAGTGGCCACAGGCAAGGGGGTGGGGGGAACAGTGCTCCTGCCCCAAGGGCCTGTGGCCACAGAAGGGGAAGTGCCTGAGACCAGGGAGGGCTCAGGATCGAGAGGTGTCCGGCTGTAGCACCCTGGGCTATGAGGAGCCCCACTTCCCTGAAGCTCCAGGACCCCTCCCACAGCGCCCACCCCAGACCCTCGAGCTAGCAGCAGGGGGCCCTCCCGGCCTCTCCCACCTGCTTCTCCACCTTGCCCAGCCGACCCATCATGCTGGGGTCCTCAGGCAGCTCTGCCTCCGCCGGGCCCTTGCTGCGGTCCTTGTCCGTCATCGCCGGGCCCCGCCCCACAATCTGGTCCACTCTGCGGGGGGAAAGGCCCCGTCCCCCAGCATGAGTTCGGGTGGGTGTGGTGGCCTGAGCCCCTCCTCTTGGGCCAGGCCACCACCCCCAGTCCAGGCACCAGGCCATGCCCAGAGCCAACGTGGGGACAGCAGGTGCCAGGACAGGTGGACACCGGGCACCTGTTCTCACCTGGTACTGGACCCTCAGGGCCTGTCCCCTGTCCACCCCATTCCAGTGGCCGCACATCAGCACCGAGGCACATGAAGGTGTCTGGGCCACTGACCCCGCAGCTCTGCACCCCCAGCCCTCCCCCCCCTGAGCTTCCCTCAGGTGCCAGGAGCCCTCTGCCCGGCGGCCTGGGGGGGACAGAGTCAGCGGTCTGTAGCAGCGACAACGGAAGCAGGGGACAGTGAGCCGGGCACCAGGACAGGGAGCGGGGGACACAGACCAGCACGGAAACTGCCCACGCACAACCGCAGGGGGACAGACAGAGCCACCACCAACCCAAGAGGGTGCCTGTGTGTGCTCGCCCGCATGCACACTGGGCCCTGCGTGTGCACATGCGTGTTGTGTGTATATGTGCGTGCACCAGTGTGCTTACATTGTGTGTGGCGCAGGTGTGCACCAGTGTTTCCATCATGTGCCCTGTCGTGCTGTGCATGTGTGCACGCACGTGTGTGCACACGTGTGCAGCGGGCAGCACACAGCCGAGCTGAGCTGGAACCAGGCCTTAATTCCTGAATGCCAGCGAGAGGAGGAGGAGGGGGACGCTCCTTCAGGGAGGGGTTTGTGTGTGACCTGCACGGTGTTCCCCAGCCCCATGCTGAGCGGAACGGCTCCAAAGAGGCTGCGGGATCCCAAGTGTGGGGACGAGTCAGGGGCCTGGCGGTCTCCAAGCTGTGGGGTCAGCTCCTGCAAACCCGTCGGGGGCCGGCAAGCGGGGCAAGATCCCAGGCCAAGGCCGCACAGCCCCCTCAAGGGTGGCCCGAAGCCCCCGGCACAGAGCCTGCTTCTCGAGCTCGGGGGTCGGGGTGGGGGCGTGGGAGGGTCTGGGCCCCGCCTGGGCTTCCTTCCCGACCCAGGGCCGGCCTGCCTGTCTCTGGTGGGGACTTGGGGCGATCTTCCTCTCTGTCGCAGGAAGCAGAAGAGGGGTTCAGGCTGTGAGCCACGGTGCAGCTCCTCATGCTCCACTGGGCTTCATGCTGGGCTCATGCACCGAAGGGCCAGCCGGGCGGGTGGGCGGGTGGGGTCGGGGTGGAGGCGGGGCCCAGGGCTCCAAGCAGACTTGGGTGCAGAACGCACAGGGAGGAGGGGCTCTCGGTGTTTCCGTGCGTCCACACGGTCCAGGCACACCTGCTCAGCGCCTTCACCCCTGCCACATGACGGGCCGCCTGCCTGGCTGGCCCCCCGGGAGCCGGGCCCAGGGCTCAGCCGCTGCTGCCCCTGCTGGGGCCCCGGGAAAGGGTCCCCGAGGATCCGGTGCCACCCCTCCCCTGGGTTTCGGGCTGAGGAGTCCGGCTCCCCGCCAACATGGCAAGACTGCTCTTCCGACCCCTTCTCTGCATGAGTGTGCCCTCTGGCCGAGGCAGCCAGGGGGCCTGCCCAGCTCCTGGCTCTCAACGCCTAGCTCTGCGCCCTGTACCACGGCCCGGAAGGATGGCTTGGGGCTGGGGGACATGGCCGAGCAGGGCACCCAGAAAACACTGTCAGGGCGGCCCTGGGTCAGACCTGCCCCCCAGGAGCACTAGGTAGAGAGGCCTGAAGGACGGACCCTCGACCTCCAGATGCCCCTGGGCCCCCCGGCTCCCGAGCTGCCAGCACGGCCGGGTGTCTCCGTCCCCAGCCTCTGAGGACTCCACCCTCCCTGGGCCGACCGGACCTGCCGGAGGTCTGAATGTTTGGTCGCTGAAGAGTCTGCCTGCGCCGACTCGCCACCTAAGTACGCCCTCACCGTGCACTCGGCCAGTCGGCCAGGCTTGCTCATCGGTCACACTGACTGTGGTGCTAAGTGGCTGGAAATGGGACCCGGGGCCCCTGTGCTCACTGGCCACCTAACTCCCCCATAGCCACAGGGTTAAAGGCGACAGAAGCAACAGGACCTGCTCAGACCCCCGCAGGGCGAACGTCAACCCCGTGGGCGGTGGGGTGGCGGGCGCTGGGGGCCTGAGAGCCCTTCCGGCACCCCAGACGCCCCCAGTCCTTGCAGTGCTGGCCTCCGCCCCTGCCCAGGGAGCCCCCCACATCGCACAGGAGGACATCACACAGGGTGTCCCTGGAAAGCTGCCCGGGTCCTGACGAGGACGCCCCACCCCCGCTGGACGTGTCCCGGGGGCCGCCGTCATGTGGCTGGAGCGAAGGGGGCTGGCCATCGCACAGACACAGGCGGGGGCGGCCGGCATCCTGACCTAGGTGAGTACTGGGGTGACTCTCTCGGAGGGGCCGTGGGTCCTTTGCTGGGGTACTTCTTGTGCCGGGGAGTTGAAGGGGGTGGGGGGCCCACAATCATATCTATCCTGGCAAGTAAACGAGAAAACAGACACCAGCAAACGCATCGTGAAGCACCCGCGGCCGGTGGCTGGGGACTCGCAGACACAGAAGGAGCGGCCCAGCCCGCAGCAACAGAGGGGCACTTCTTACAACTATGGCCACTCGCAGCCACGCCTGCTTGAGACTTCCCGTGTTCAAGCGGGCACAGGCCTGGTCACTGCCTCACAGTGTGGCCCGCCTGCCTGGCCAGCATGCATGTGCGCGGGGCAGAGGGCAGCGGGCCCAGCGCCTGAGGTGCTGGTGGTGACAGCACTCGGGCATGTGGCCGTGACGGACGCCCAGCCACAGGGGCAGTGCCTGGCTTTGCCGACAGAGAGGAAGGGAGGGGAGAGTTCAGGGGCCTGTGAGCCCGCAGCGGCGGCGAGGCGTGAGAGGGAGGCCCAGAGGGCAGCTGCTCTCACACATGCACACATGTGCACACCCCGCGCTCACACGCTGTCATGTGCAGTGTGCTCGTGTACACACGTGAACACCCACATGCAGACTTGTGCATACGCACGCTCACACGCTCACACTCAGGTGTGCGCACGCTCTCATGTTGCCCACGTGTTGCACCTTTGTGTGTTTGCACACCCACCATGTTTGCACACACTCTCACGTCACCCTCTTGTGCACAGTGGTGCACACACTTGCTCACACACACAGCACAGACCTAGGCAATGCTCTGTGGGGCCCTGAGCCCAGGGACAAGAAGGGGTCACTGCCTGGCCCCCCCATGGGCAGCGTAAGGCCCAGAGACCCCTCCCCCGCATCTGGGGGCAGGACAGGAGGCAGCCCAGTGTGGGGGTGCGCTGACCTCACTCCTCCCAGGGGCGGGGAGCAGGGCTGCCCCCCAGGCCGGTCCCCTGACCATGCAGACCTGCCCACAGCCAGGGCCCAGGCCTCCCTGGGGACGGCTGTGTTGGAGGGGCTGCGGGTGGGGGGCTCCGACAGGCAGGAGCACCGGCCCCACTTCAGGCTCACACACACACGTGGGCAAGGCTTGTCTGCACATGCGGAGGGTGGGTGTCTGGCAGCACACGTGTACTTGGTGTGTGTATATGTGGGTGGACTTAGAGGGTACATGTATGTGGTCACCAGGCTGAGAGTGTGCCTATGTGTTCACGGGTGTGCTGGCACATGTGTGCACTGGTGTAGGCACAGGTCTATGTGTGCACCGCATGCACACCTCTCTTAGGGGTGCTCGTGTCCGCATGTGCACGTACAGAGGGATTCTGGGGTGAGCACACCAGCCTGGCACGCATGTGCCCTGGAACGTCCCTGCCACGGACGGGCGCCATGTGGGGGGAGTCCCTGGCCTGGCAGAAGAGGTGCCAAGGCACACAGCCCCTGCTCCTGACACACGAGTGCAGGACACTTGGCACACAGGGCACACCGGAGACATGTGTACACCCCACGTGTGCCCACATGCCCCTGCACACGCGTGCACACTTACACATGCACACAGAGACCTACACTGAGCACTTACACTGTGTACCCACACAGGTGTGCATGGGCACACACGTGTGAGCACACACACACGCACACCCCGCAGCGCGAGGGGAAGGGGCAGGAGGAAAGACACAGAGATGTCGAACACAAACACGACAGAAACCGTGTGTGGGCCGGGAGGAGGGGCCACCACAGCCCACCCGCCTCTAGTGGGGAGCACGCGCCCCCCGCACCCATCTCCCCAGTCCGGGGCGCCTCAGTGCTGGCCCGCAGCACCGGCCCCCCGCTCGCGGCCTGGGGCTCTTGCCTGGACTGCAGGTTTTTGATGCGCGACAGCATGTCCAGGTGGCCGGCCGAGTACTGCTCGATCACGTCCATCACGTCGTAGGGCCGCAGGCTCTCCTTGAACTTCCGCTTGGACACCAGGAACCTCATGACACTGAGGGGCAGGCGGGGGCCGTGAGCCCCTGGCGGAGACCGTGGGGCCCCCCAGGCGGGGCCTCTGCCTTCCCAGGCCCTTCCCAGCAGCCCCGAGAACGTGCTCTGGAAAATGTGTCCCTTTCACCTGGGCCACCCACCCACCAAATGCACCGGCCACCCCTGGGCTCCGCTGCCCAGCCGGACCCTGGCCCACCTGGCCGTCCATGGACAGCCCCAGGTGACAGGCAGGGACACTGTGACACTGGGCACCTTGTGAGCCACAGGAGCTGGGGCCAAAGGGGTGTCAGCCACAAGGGGTCCCCCCAAACCCCAGAGAGAGTGACGGCACCCCTTCCTGGGCTCTGTCGGGGGGACGCCCGGGGTCACTCACCACACGGCCCGGATGCTGACTTTGAGGCCCGGGGTCAGGTCCTCGGTCACAAACTCGCAGTTACAGCTCTTGTTGTCGTCCACGATGTCCTCCCCAGGGAGACTTGCTTCTGGGTGGAAGGGGACACAGCCCATGAGGGGACAAAGGGGACGTGTCCACACCCAGTCGCAGCGGAAGGTCGCTCGCTCAGCATGAAGAGGGACGAAACCCCCACCCACACACCCAGTGGAAGAGCCCCCCAAACACGTGTGAGTGAAGCCAGACACCAGAGGCGCCGTGTGGCCCACCGCGTGCCGTGCCCGAGACACACGGGAGAGGACAGCCGGCTGGGCCTGGGGTGACCGTGGGTGGACGGAAGGTCCCAGAGCTGTGCAGTGAGCGCGCTTAGTGCCCAGAATTGTTTACTTTAAAACGGCTCATTTCGTGTGACGTGATCCCAGTAAAAGCAGAGACGGATAAAGTGGGTACTGCCCCCACCCCCCGGGGAGTGAGCCCTGCACGTGGCGGGACCACAGAGGGCGCGGGCCGACCCACCTTCCGAGTTCTGCCGGGACGCGGCGCCCTTGACCCGGAAAGCCTGCCGCGCGCGGCTGCGGTCGCCGAAGCTCCAGCTCTTGGGCACTTTGCTGGGACTGTCCTCCAGGCTCTGGTCAGCGCTGGGCGAGCGCCGGACCGGCTGGGCCTGCGGGGACCCCTTCCCCTTGGCAGCCACACCTCGGGGGCTGGAGAAGACACGGTCCTTCAAACTGACCTTCTGACTGCTCCCAGGAAGACGGACGGACAGACACACACAGAAAGACAGCAAGAAGAGTCACTCTGGACAGAACCCTCACACCGGCCACCGGCTCTCAGCTGGTGTCGTCCCCCGTGGAAAGGAGAGAGATGCAGCCCCAGCCCCAGAGAAAGGCAGCCGGGGGGCGGCAGCCGGGGGCTGAAGTCCGGCTGGGGAGGGTGGTCCCAGACCAAGGGATGCCAGGGACGGTCCGCTCCACCAGAGGGTCCCCGGCTGGCTCCAGTGCTCGGCCTGGCCAGGGGTCAGTGGACCCTTCAACCACTTGTCGCCACCACCAACAGGGGCCCGAGCCCCGTCCACAGGTCCAGCCGGGCCTCCCACTGCGAGGCGGCACCAGGGCAGGGCAGGGCAGCAGCAGCGGCTTCTGCCTGGGCCCCCAGCAGGCTGCCTGTCTGCCCGTCACACCTTGTGACCGCCCAGGGCCAGGAGGGGTCAGGTCTGCAGCTGGGCCTCCCCCAGCCCCAGGTAGTGGGTGAGGCCGGAGGAGAAGCGTGGAGGGTGGTCCCTACCTTCTCTTCGCCACCCGGGGGAGCAGCACAGGCTCTGCCCCATCCCCGGGATGCAGTGGGAATGGACCGTCCGCTCCCAGAGCGTGGAGTGGAAGGGCCTGCTCTGCTGGCCACGCTGGCCCAGGCCCTGGCCCAAGGCTGCAGGGACTGGGCGACCACAGCCAGCCAGCCACAGCCCTGGGGGTCCTCGGGCCTCCCTGTCCACACAGCTGTTGGTAACCATGGAGACAGGCTCCTCTGGGCAGCAGCCAGGAGACAGGGTGGGTCACAGTGGGTCAGGCGGTGGCCGGGGCGCTGCATCAGGCCAGGTGGCCACTTGCTTCCCCCGACTGGGCAGTCCCCCCAGGCCCCCAAGAGAGGAGAGCAAGGCTCTGTGAACTGGGAGTCCACTCGGGCCTCTGACCAGGGCCTCTCGCTGCCCCTGGGGGCTTGGGACAAACCTGCCCCAGGGTGGGGGCCTGTGGGCTGCACCGTGCCAGCTAACGCCCCAGGCATCGCCAGCCCCTCTGCGGCCACCCCGAGTCAGCCGCCTCCTTCGGCCACAGCAGGTAAACGCAGCCTGACACCCAACCGGGCGGCACAGAGATGACCGGCCAAGCAGAGGAGGTGGCCGGCACCGGACCCACTCGGCCTGGATGCTGCGCCCTAGGTGGGCACGTCTCCCCACCCCGGGCCCCACAGCCTGTCTGTGCTAGTTCAGGGGTCCCTGCAGGACGAGGAGAAGAGCCCCTTGGGCTGATGGCTCTGAGGTGCGGAGCTCCTGGTGTCCTGTGAGCACAGGACGGGCTGCGGGGGACGTCAGCTTGCTCGGAACACCTGCCCGAAGCTCGTAACTGCTGAACCGAGGACAAGGCCCAGCGGGGCAGGTGGGGACTGAGGGACACCCAGCACCAGGCATCACGGGGCCTCTGACCACGTGGCCTCTTTCATGTTCCTGTCCTGACAACGGCCACCAGCTGGAGCGGGGAGGCCACAAGAAGTGGCGGCCCTGCCCAGCCAGGAGGGCTGAGACTCGGCAGGACCTGTTCCCTGTGTCCGAGACCAAGGCCAGGCTCCCCACTGCAGGATGTCGCGGGGTGGACACCTGGGCCTCCTCGGTCACCTGCAGGCACTCGTCCCCCGGCCCCAGCCACCTAGCGTTTGCGCCAGGGTCCTGCAGCGCCCCCCATCAAGTCACAAGCTAAGGGCCAGAGCCAGTGCAGGGGGCAGAGAGGTGGCTCTGGCCAGATGGCCTGTGGTGAGATGGGGTGGTTTTGAGGCACCTGCGCTCTGTTTACACGGGGCTGGGGTGTGGGAAGAAAGCCGAGGTCTGTTCCCCTCTCCACCTGCCAGCCCCCACCCAGGGCAAAATTCTAAATACAGGATGGGGGAAGCAGCCGAAAACCAGGAAAGAGGGAGTGGGAGGCCCCAGCTGAGCTCAGAGACACCCTGGCTGCACACGGGCCCGCTCGGCGGGGGGGAGCCGGCATCCACGGGGAGCAGCTGCTGGCCATGGCTGGCCGTGGATGCCCCAGGAGAGTGGGGAGGATGAGGTGACGTACATGAGGCTTGTGCACAGTAGGACTGAAGGTGGCCAGAACCCCGACCACAGCCCCTGACCGAGGGAGCAGCCTGTGGCCGGCCTCCGCCCCGCCCGGCTTCATGCCTGGGGCTGGGAGCCTTTCCGGGTGCCTACGTCCGTCCGTGAACACGCAGGTAGCAAGGACAGGTAGGGGGCAGCCCTCAGAGCCCCTTTCAGGACGGAGAAGGACTTGGAGCATGCGCAGGTGCAAGGTGCAGGCATGCGGCTGCCGGGGGCGGGGGGAGCCCTGGTCCTGCTGCGTGGCCCCTCCAGGCGCTGGCCGCTCAGCAGCAACCACATGCAAACGACCGAAGGTGAGTGCTGCCCACACCTCGCAGGGCTGTGCCGGCCAGGGTGGGAGACGGGCAGGGGGGGATGCACCTGGAGCAAAGCAGAGAGACAGACACGTCCGCACCCGCCAGCCGGCAGTGGGCAGAGGTGAGGGGCAGCACCCACGGTGCCGAGCGAGGGTCTGCCCGAAACTGGGGCCGCACGTGGGAGGGGGCCTCTGGCTCTGCCTGTTTTCCTGGTGAGTCTGGTGTGCCAGACCAGCCGGCACACCCAGGTCAGGGCCGCCCCGGGGCAGCAGGGCGGCAGTTTGGGGGGCCGTCCTCGGGTGCCTAGTAGAGGTGCTGGACTGACACCAGGAAGAAGGCGCCCTGCATGGTCGGGACCGGGGGCCGGCGCCCTTGCTGGGTTTCCGAGCCCCCGGCCGGGCCCCTCCTGCCTGGGGAGAAAGAGCCTTGGAATCAGGGGGCAACTAGCAATGCCCCAAGCGGGCCCTGGGCCGAGCTGCCAATCGGAATCGGGGGCCGGGGCCGGGGGGCCGGGGCGGCCCCTCCCTGGCTGTCCAGAACCTCTAATGGGCAGAGTTTGGAGCGGAAGAGCCGTGCATTGATGGTCCGAGCCGCGCGTCCGCGGTACCTAGAGTGTCCCGGGCAGCATCCACACAGGCCCTGGCTGCACGGTCCGCCTTTACTGGAAACGAGGAGAGCACAGTTAGTCCCCGGGCGGGGAGTCGGGCCGGGCGGGTAAACCGAGGCACCACGACCACCCCTGGGGGGTCTCTGGGCTCAGCGTCCACCAGCCACAGAGCTTGCGTCTGAGCAAGGACTGCAAAGGAAAGTCTTCTGCCAGCCTGGAAAAGAAAACTGTCCCCTATTTTTGGAGGAAAGAAAATTCCTTGTTTTTTCCTCCAAAAATACCTTTTCCTTCCAGAGTCAGAGCTTGGGGGTCACGTCTCTGAGGGAATGTATTATTTTTTGTTGTTTTCATGCGCACAAAAAAAAATAATACATGGGCTGAGACTCTGCCAAGGGCTTCTCCTTCCCGGGTGGACAGGGTTCCGGAAAGCACGGGTTTTGCGGGGACAACGTGCGTTTGGTTTCGCAGACCCATCGGGGAGGTCCGGCGGAGCCCAGCCGGCTGCCTGCGTGTCAGTGGGCCTCTCGGACCCAGGGGCTGTGGCTGCCTCTCCCCAGTGGGAAGCTACAGAGAAAGGGGTCAGAGTCCGTTAATTTCGGGGCCCTCCTCGGTTGGGGGAGCTCTGCAGTAACGCTCCTCCAACAGTCAGCCCTGCAGGGCCCCCTGGGGCTCATCTCCTGCCCAGAACACACACCTGTTTGAAGCCAAGACCAAAGCACCCAGCAAGAGCTACAAGAAATCCTTCGTTTTCCAGGACCTCTCCTTCCCCCTCCACTTTCGAAGCTGCTGCCCCTGAGACAGCAGTTCTCAAACCTTTTGCCTGAGGAACCCCAGCACATCTGGGGGTCCCCACTCAGGGAGGGGGGCTTGGCGTGTGCGCATCCCCTCAGACATCCGTGGCACCTGCTGGCGTCCAGATGCCTCTCTCACTCACACAAAGGACACAGCAAGCGGCTGGTCAGCCACCATGCCCAGGGTCCTCGGAGCCCACAGCTGGCCTTCCTGGGCTCACCGTCTGAGGAGGACCCCGAGTGCCCCCTGAGCTTCCTCCCTATGGGACCTGCCTGGTCGCTCGGATGAGGGACAGGACTTACTGGAGGCCGGATCCAGCGGGAGGGAGCTGGGCTCCTGCTGCCCCCACGCCCCGCCGTGACTCAGTGTCCCCAGTGTCCCCAGGACCTGGACCCCCACCGGACAGCTCCATCTGCTCAACAGAGCCCCTCAAATTCAGGGCACATGTTCTCTCCCAGGGCACCTCACCCCATGTCAGCCACAGACAGGTTCGTCAGGGTGTGCCAGACAGCAAAGGAGGGGACCCCTCAGCCAGTCCCTCCCGGGTCCCAGGTCTGCAGAGACAGCACCCCCCACCTGGGGGCTGTGCCTCGGGAAAGAGGGCAGTGCGGTGGCTCTGCTCCAACCCCTGTGACGGGTCTTGACTGCAACCAGCCCCCAGACCAGCGTGGCCACTGCAACCGTCCCCGCTCGGCCACCTGTCCTGCAAGCATTTCCAGGGCCCTCGGCCCCATGTCACCGCAGGGGACCGTCCCCACTGCTGTCTGACCAGGCACATGCCCGCCCTGCTGCTGGCCCCTCTGCACGCGAGACGGGACCAGCTCACTCGCCGTGTTCACTTCAAGGAAAACTTAAACAGCCACATGTGGCCAGTGGCTCCCGTGTGGGGCAGCGCAGCCGCTGACCCTGATGGAGCCGGTGGGGGTGGGCCGCTGGTGCCCCCTCCTCCAAGCACAGGGCCAGCCTCAGGGGTTTCCCTGTCCCTGTCAGCCAACCAGAGGTCACTGGTCTGAGAGCTGGGGCGTCCAGCCCTGGGAACCGGGACCACTAGGCTGAAGACACATCACACACACTCACCAAGACCAGACTAGACAGACAGGCCTGTGACGAGGGGGGACCCACACGGACCAGGCGCAAAGCAGCCGGAAGGCAGGGGTCTCTTCCGGGGCAGGCGGGGTGGGGGCAGTCGGGAACGGGAAGCTCAGAGGGCGGATCGGAGACACCTCGGAGCAGCACAGCCCGGACCCCTGGCTGCCCTGCCCCCTGCTCTGACCAGATGCAGGCGGCCTGGGTCTGACGCCACGACAGCCACAGCGAGTGCCCAATGTGAGCCAGGCCCCAGAGGGGTGGGAGTGTCACAGGAACTGAGTGACCGTCCCCACGTCCACCCCGTCCCCTGCACTCCGGGGCACAGCCGCCTCCCAGGCAGCCCGGGGACACGTACCCCTTCGCGGGTGCAGTGTGTGACACACACCAGAGGGGCTGTGGCTGCCCCGGCGGCGGAGGGGACGGCAGCACTGCCTGCTGTTACCTGGCTGACAGGTGTGCCCCCGAGGAGGGCAGGCCCTGGGTCCCAGGGAGGAGGCTGGGCCAGGTGGGCCCCCGGGGAGGCCACAGGGTCACGGGCAGGCAGGGACACAGGTCACACGGGGAGGAGACGGAGGATCGGTGAGCAGGAAGCAGGGGGCAGAGCCCGGAGGCTCCCGCGTGTCCTCACCTTCAGTCCTGCTTTCAAGGTCAGCACCTCGTCCCCAAAGACAGAGCCCGCGGGAAAGGGCCCGAGAAAGGCAGTGACATGATTAAAGGCACTTGGGAGGGGCCAGATGTGCAGATCGGGGGAGGGGAGGGCGGGAGAGGAGAGAGAGAGAGAGAGAGAGGCTGAGACCAGAGTTGCCGGGAGGAGAGGAGCGCCGGGGCCTGGAGCACATGGAGCCACCTCAGGCCGCCGGGCCCGAATGGATGGGCGGTGGGTGGGTGGGGCACAGAGGCCGCCATCTGCTCCCCCAGGCCAGACCAGTTCCGGTCGCGTGTCCATTTCTCAGCTCCTGTGAGGGGCCGGTCACTGCTGACCTTTTGGCCATTTCAGGGCAGAAGCATTGCCCACTCTGCCACCTGGGCACCAGCCATCCTTCCTGTCTTAGGGGCCTGGGGGGGTGCCCTCTCCTGGTCGTTGGGGCAGGTGGGCTCAGCCCACCTCCACCTCCCCACCTGAGGACCAGTAGGGGCACCAAGGAGGCGGGGCACGGTGGGCAGGAGGGCAAGGTCTCTGGCCCGTGGCCTGGGGCAGGCCTCCCTCTCTCCCTGGGGGTGGGGGAGGAGTGCTGGCGGACCGGAGGTTGGAGGACTCAGCAGGGGACACCCAGCCGGGCTGGAGTTCATCAGATGTGATCTTGTGGCCTGTCCTGGGCTTTCCAACCACAGGACGACTGTGGGTACCACCTCCACTGCCCGCAGCAGAGCCGGCCCATAGCACCCCCCTCGGGGTCACCTGCCTGCCTGCCTGCCGCAAATAGAACAGGTGGGGCCTGCAGGGCCCCCACAAAACACAGGAGACCCTGGGCTACAAAAGGAGCCTTCCCACTCCCCCCAGAAACCTTCCACAAACCAGGGTCTGCCCCTCGGCCAATCCTCAGTACGACCCTCCGCCGCCGCTGACCCGACCCCCACACTGACCCTGCGGGGGTGTCACAGAGACCCCCGAAGGGGCCCAGGGCCTGCCCTCCCAGAAACACGGAAATGGACCCCAGGGCCCCGTCAGCACTGAGCATTCACCGCCGGGCGGGGGCCCAGGCACGGCCCGCACGGTGCTCCCCGGGAGGGCAGCGAGGCGCGCAGATGCGGGGACTGGGGACACTGACCTGGGGGTTGGCTCCGGCTGCGGCTCCTTCCTTGAAACAGAAGCAACAAGACTGTCAGGGTCGCCCCCGCCTGGCACAGCCCCCCCAGCAGCTGGGTCTGGTGGGCTCCCCTCCGCACCCAGCACCGCCCTCCCCGCCCGGCCCACACCCACAGCCCAGGGGCCCCAGGCCCCCAGCAGGCAGGTCCTGGAGAAAAGAGGGTCTCCGGCCACCCCAGCTTCTCTCCCAGAGCTCCCTCTGCTTCCTGCCTCTGCCTTAGGGCTGGTGGGCCCACCAGGCAGAGAATCTCTCCCGTGGACGTGGCCCCACCCTGCACCTGGCCTGGCCCCCAAAGCGCACTGTTCCCTCAAGTGGGTGCCCCAGTTCACTGTACTTTGCGGGCTGGCCAGCTGACACCCCAGGTCTTCGGGGCTGGTTTCTCTCTGCTTGCCGGTCCTCCCCGGGTCCAGGCTCGACCCTCCCTCCCGCATCTTTCCGTCGGGGGCAGGAGAAACCAGGCCGCAGCGCCCACCCCAGCTGGGGGTCTGGGCTGAACGTCCCAGCTGGTCCGGCTCTGCTTCGCACCCCACTCGGCAACACAGCTCAGCCCCCGATGACCGGGCCATGTCCCCGGTTTCCGGCTGAGACCTCGCCTGGGGCTCCCCACTCCAGGTGACGAGTCCCTCCGTCACCCCAGCACGTGCTGGGAAAGGCCACCTTGCATGTCGCCCTGCCCAGCAGCTGCTCCCCCACACGGCCGGCCCTCTTCGCCCACGCTCTCCCCAAACTGCCTGCCACCTGTCACCGGGTCCCAAGGCCACTTCTGCAGGGCCCGGCCCCTGTTCCTGCAGCACCCCACTTCCCACATGGGGACCTGTGTGCGCTCCCATCCCTTTGAAGGCCACGGGCTGGGGACTCGACCCACAGAAATGGACCCTCTGCAGTCCCAGAGGCTAGAGGTCCAAGCTCAGGAGCCAGAGCACCCTCTGAGGCTGCAGGGGACAGTCCTTCCGCTCCTGGTGCACCCAGGCGTCCCTGGGCCGGTGGCCACTTCATCCAGTCTCCACTGTCTCGTAGGAGAATGCTCATAATTGGATTTAGAGACAGGCTGAGAGCCTTCCCTCAATCACATCCACAAAGGTTTTTCCAAAATAAGGTCTCGTTCACAGGTTCCAGGGCACGGACACGTCTTCAGCAGGGGCTAGCACTGACCCCTGGCGGCTGCTCTGCCCAGCTCAGGGCTCTGGACATGGACCGCCCTCCTCTGCACTCCCACCCCACCTCTGTACCGCGCACTGGGGCACCACCAGGTCCCGTGGCTGCCCCCTGCGGGGGTGACCTGCCTGCCCCTGCTGAGTGCCCGCGGGTAGCAGGGCCCCCAGGAGGATGGACGAGACCCCCCCACCGCTGGCCATGCTGCTGCCGGCCCCTCTGCTGACCTGAACGTGAGCCCAGATTTACTCTTGAGGTTCCGCAGCAGCTCCAGCTGGTTCAGCGGGGGGATGAGTCTGCAGGCAGGAGAGGCCGGTGAGCTCCCGCCCGCCAGAGCCCAGGGACAGGGGGTGTGGCCTGTGCCCCGCAGGAAAGGAGAAGTTCTGAGCAGGGGACCCGGGGCCCTGGGGCACCGCCTGCATTCCCTCACTGCACCCCTGAGAGTGCAGGGTGACTCGCTGGCACAGCAGGGGTGGGAGCGGGGCTCGGGCCTTGTCCCCGGGGGCCCCGGCCCCTGGCTCTGTGGAGCAGGTGGGGCAGGTCGCAGGAGCCCGGGTGGGGGGCTCATTCCTGTCCTCCCCTCTCCCAACCCCGAACGCCCCAGAGGTCAGCATGGTGAGCATGCAGAACCCCACCCATTCAGGCTGCCCGGCCCTCTCTGAAGAGCCGGGTCAAGTTCAAGGTTGCAGTGAAGCTGCCTGCACAGGGAGAGGCCCTGGGACACCGGACAGCAGGCCTGGCTCTGCTCCAGGGCCCGGGTCCCCAGAGCTGCCACACCCTGTGGGCCACCTCAGCCAGTGCCTGCCACCGGCCACGGGGCAGATCCAGACAGAACCTCTGTGAAGAACCGAGGCCCGGCCTCCACACCAGGACCGGGGGTCCGAAGGCCCAGGGGGTTCCTGGGGAGGGCCCAGGCTCCCCCACGGCGACAGCCCCCTTGGGCATCAGCCTGCTGAGTCCCAGTCCCTCCAGCCTCCAGCCTCCTGGCTCTGGGACCCCCTGGCCCGCTGGGGGTTTCTCTGTCCTGCCTCCAGGGCAGGCTGGAGCCCGGCCCCAGACGTCCGCCCCTCTCCATGTGACAGGCCCCTGTCATGTTCACAGGAAAACACTCAGCGGTTCCGCCTCACAGGTGACCCTGACCTTGGCCACTATCTCTGGCTTTGCCCCGGCCAGTCACTGTCCCCTCTGTAGGCCCAGCATGGCCAGGCCTGGCAGTGCTGCCTGGACACACGGGGAAGGGTGGTCCCGCAAGCCCACCTTCCTCCCCCAGCCAGGGCTGCCCGTGGTCCTCACGGGCCAGCATCGAGCAGGAGGCTGGGCGGTCAGCACTCGTGCTGCGGGCACAGTGGGGTCCCTGGGGCTGGACCCAGGGACACAGGGGCCTCCCCCCTCCCCTCGACCACCCGCCCGCCAGCCTGGCGCAGAGACGCAGGATGGCGCCCCCCACACAGGTCCGAGGGAGAGACACGTGGATGGGATGCCATGCCCTGGACACACAGCAGCGGGGGCGGGACACAGGCGGGCAGGCTGGGGCAGGGTGAGCAGGCACCACACGCAGGGTCACGCACCACACACAGCGCGTCACCTCGAGGGCAGTCTCAGTTGGGGGGGATGAGGGTGCGGTGTGCTGACAGGAGTGGGGGGCATGTCAGGGGCACCCCCGGGACAGAGCAGCAGCTGGTCAGGGGACCAGCTGGCCTGGGGACAACTCCAGCCACCCAGGCCCAGGGCCAGGGGCGGGGCAGCTCTGCAGATCCCGGGAGAAGTGGACTGGCCAGAGAAGACGAACCGGGGAAACCTCCCAGGTCGAGGGGCCTGTCGGGGCCTGGGCAGGGTCTCCCCAACTGCCGGCAGCCGGGAGCCCCAGGAGTCCTGTGTCCGTAATGGGGAGACCAGCTCCCATCACCACCTTCCCCTCTGCGAGGCCTGGGGTCAGGTCCCTCTCCCCCCGGGGCTGGTGTCTCCTGCTCCCCAGAGCAAGTCCACAGGGAGCCCCAGCGCTGCCTGGATGCTCCCAGGTGCAGGGTGGGCTGCCTGCCAGGAGCAGGGACCACTAGGATGTCCCCAAGTGGGGACGCGGAAACCCCCAACTCCGCCGCCACTGCGCTGTGCAACGGGGACCCGTGGGGCGAGGACAGAGGCACTGGAGTGACCCCGCCACTAAGAACAGGCAGGAAGCAGGACAAGGAACAGAGGACGACCTGGGACGGGCGGACCCAGCACAGGTAAGCGGCTGAGGGGGAGGCGGGGCACAGTCGGGAGAGGACACGGGGGCAGGGGGGCCAGGGAGGCGCACCCCAGTCCGGGCCACAGGCTGGGGCAGGGTGCGGGGGTCGCCACGCAGGGCACAGACCACACCACACGCCTCTGCTCCATGCAGGTCCTACCTGGAGGCCCCGTAGGTCTGAGCTTGCGAGCTTTCAAGTGTTTTCACACACACACACACAAGGGGAGAGAAGTAAATTAAAAAGGAAAAAAAAACAGGATAAGAAAAGAAAACGAAAGAAGGGTGGAGGAGAGCGGGAAAGACAACAGAACAGAAGGTTAGCGCGCGGGCCCCCGCCTCGCCGGGAGGCCGGGGCACGAGGCCGTGGTGTCCCACGGGCGGCAGAGCGCTCTGCATGGGCGTGCAGTGGGGGGCGGCACCCTCTTCCCGGGTGACAAATGCCCACTGAGGCCAATGGCAGGTGGGACCGCCTTTGGGTGCTGGGCCAGCCCTGACTTCAGGACCCTCAGCAGGGGAGGGCTCCCAGGGTGGGGACGCCTGGGACAGACCAGGGCAGAGGGCAGGGCGCACCCACCCACCTGGGGCGCCAGGCCCGAGTGGACACCGGGAGGCCACCAGACCGGTCACCTCAGACCTCTGTCTAAGCCAGAGCCGGGCACGGGCAGTCCCGGGCGGCCACTCCTGTCGGGGAGGCTCTCGCCTGGGAGGTGCTTCTGTGCTGACCACACGGCCCCACGGCCTGGGGCGCCTCCGCCAACCACACCCAGACGGGGCTTCCCACCCCCTCGCCCGCCCGAGGCTGCCTGGAACCCCACGGTATGCCGGTCTCCCGGTCCGAAAGCTTCTCTGCGATCGGGGTCACCCCCCTTTCCTTGCAGAGGCCCAGTGGTCCAGGTGCCCCGGGTGCCCACCGGAGCCCCGGCGAGGAGGAGGAGGAGGAGGAGGAGGAGGAGGAGGAAGTCAAGTGGCGTGGAGGGCGAGGGGGATGGAGGTGAAAATAAAAGCCGTGGCTCACGAAACAAAGCGAAATCAACAGTGAAATAAAACACACGCAGAACTCCATTTTGAAAAAAAATACATTTTAAAGGAAAAAAAAGAAACTGAAATCAATGAAAAGAATGAACGACCAAACATGGGGATTCCGGGAGGATGGGGGAGACGGATGGCCGCCAGGGCGCGGCGGTGGGCGGGGCGCAGCGGTACCTGTACATGGGCACGGTCACCGTGCGCTCGTAGTACTGCCAGGTGGAGTGCAGGTCGGTGCGCGACAGGTTGGTGGCGTAGAACCTCCAGGCGGACTGCGGGGGAGACACGGCGGCGGGCCGTGGGCCAGGGCCCCGGGCAACCCCACAGGGCCCCCCCTCCTGTCCCCACCCCAACGAGCCTCAGCGTGTCCTCTGTGGACGGGCCACATGGCCGCCACCCCGCTGGTGGGGGCTGGCCGTGGGGTAGGTCTTCCCTGGCACCCGGCCCTGATAACCTGCCTCTCCAGTCCTGAGGGGACGAGCCAGCCCCTGCGACCTCAGCAGCTAGGGGACGGGGCACGCAGGCCCCCATCCTCCAAGCATGGTGGCCCACGGGCAGGGGGGGAGGGAAACTGAGCGCCATGCGGGGTGCAGGAGTGTGGCGAGACCTCCCCCGACCTGGCCTGGGCCTCTGTCCCCAACTCTCGGACGTGGGGTGGAGTGACCAGCATTCCCTTCACCCCTTTAAAGTGCACGACCCAGAGGCGGCTGGTACATTCCCGTTGCTGAGGGACCGTCAGCACTGTCGGGCCCCTCCTTCCTGTCACTGAGCATGAGCCACCCCACCCCCACCAGCAGTCACCCCCAGGGTCCCCCAGGGTCCCCCAGGCCTTGCCGACCTCCCAGTCTGCACAGCCCCCCGGTTTCCTTCCGAGGAAGGACCACGCTCATGATGCGTGGTCGCCGGTGCCGCTTCTTCACACAGTGGTTCTCCCGGCCCATCCACGTGCCTCGTTCCTTTTAAGGCTGACCACTCTTCCCTGCGATGGCAATGCCACTCTGTCCCCCGCTCCCTCCACTGAGGGACACTCCGGGCTGGTGAGTGTGGACACCCGTTTTCAGTGCTTTGGGGGCGCACGCTTAAAAGCAGGTTGCTCGGTCACATGATGGTTGGTTTTCTCAGGGACCCCAGACACCCCCAGGGTGCTGCTCGGGGGTCACGCGCCCTGCCCCACCCCGCCCCCTGCAGTGTGTGGGGCTCCCTCTCTCCACCTCCCCCCCCCGTGGAGAGCTGGCGGCTCCTTGCAGTTTGGGTTTGCTTTCCCCTCCACACTGAGGATGCCAAAGGCATTTCTTGGCTGCTGGTCCCCGCACACTTCTGGGGAGACCGTGTCTGTGGGAGCCCTCTGCCCACTCCTGAGTGGGCGGTGAGAGTCCTTCGGACATTCTGGACCCCAGACGCTCATCAGACACCTGACCTGCAAACGCCCGCCCCGTCCCGAGGTCCCTCCTTTCCTGCAGTGGAGCGGTTAATGCTGACGAAGCTCCATTTATCTGTCCGTTTCGCTGCTTGGGATTCTGGTGTCATTTCTGAGAAGCCAAGGCCACAGGGACTCACATTGCGTTCTCTTCTAAGTTTCATAGTTTTAGCTCCTACGTTCATGTTCTTAACCGTTACCCTGGGGGTCAGGACGGACCCCCAAAACACAGGAGAGTCCAGTCTGAATCCAGAGCAAGGCTCCGACACCAGGGTGCAGCCCCCCGCGCCCGTGCGGCCCCCCCTTCTGTTTTTGTCGTCACAAGCGGCATCTTTACGCGAGTGACCAGAAATGTAGACTCGTCATTGTCGCTTTACATATTTGCCTTTTAAACCACACAGGGAAAACCGCGTTTCAGACCGAAAATACACGACCACTGGCGTCTGCATTTACCCCTGCGGGCGCCTTCCCAGTGCTCAGGAGGCTGGAGTCACTGCCCGGCGCCCTCCCCTCCCACCCGGAAGACACCCTGCGGCATTGCGTGTGGGCAGGCCTGCCCGGGACGAGCCCCCTCAGCGTCTGGGTGCATGGGGACGTCATTCCTCCTCCACTGTTGAAGGGTGGTTTTTCCAGAAATGTAATTGTTCTTTGATGGGAGTTTCAGGACTTCAAATGTGTCGCTCCCCAACCCCTGGCCCCACGGCTTCCCTAGTTAATCCTCGTCCACTGAAGGGTCGCGTGTCCTGTGGCCTCCGGGGCTCTCGCTCTGTCCCCGGGTTTTAGCCGTCTGACTCCGAGGTGTCTCATTGCCGGTCTTTTTACCCTCCTTGGAGTTTCCTGAACTTCCTGGGTTTGGAGATGCATGACCTTCACCAAACTTGGAAAGTTTTCGGCCTTATTTCTCCCAATACTCTCTGTGTCTCTTGCTCTCCCTCTCTCCTCCTCCTGCTTCACATTTTTGTTGAAAAAGGGATGTTCTGAACGGTCAGTCGTGGAGCCTCTGGGGCCGGGCTCTGCCCCCTGCCCAGCAGAGCGTTGAATGGTTGTTCTGAACGACCTCACACACGCAGTGTTCCTCGTTGTGTGTGGTCGTCACCCGAGCCTCTGTTCCATTAGCTCAGCACTCAGCCGGCAATGTGGCAGGTTTCCTTAAACCCGAGAACCCAGAGACTCGGTCATTTCCCCACAGCCCTGCGTCGGGCACTCCCAACACTCTGCAAGGCCACGTACACCCCTGCGCTCGCCCGCACTTCCTGCCTGCACAAAGCCCAAAGGTCAGCCTGAGGGGACGGTTTAAGGTCTTCCCCAGTCACCTCCGACCCTGCATCCAGCCGCGGCCCTCGAGGTCCCCTGTACGTGGGGGGCTTTCCGGAGCCTTGATTCCCCCATGTCTCCTCCCCGGACCTGTTCCTTCCAGGTGTCTCAGCCTGTCTGCTGCCAACCACTGTCCACGGCCCCGGTGGCTGCAGCCAGCCCACCTGTCCGTGCGTCCCACAGACGCCGCTGGGAGGCCACTCCAGCCCAGTGAGCGTCCAGCTGAGTGACACAAAGGCAGGACATTCAGGACACGCAGTGGCTGCTGCATCCCGGGTGCAGGGCCGGTGTTTAAGCCAGGAGCACAGACGGGGCTCAAGCACCTCCAGGCCACCAGAGTGGGGGTCTCAGCCCCACCCCCACGTGCAGCACGGGCGTGAGAACGCCTCTGCCTACCAGGGTGCCTCAAAAGGCAGCCGGGTGGCAGCAGGGACGGCAGCCAGCACAGCACCATCGCCACGCTGCCTCGTGGCCGCAGACCACTCTCTGGTCCTCAGCACACGGGCCAGACTTCCCACGCCCAGCACGTTCCTGCAGAGCGACCAGGGCCTGTCCCCAGACAGGGGAACAGGGGCAGGGCTTCACTCCTGCACACGCGGGACCGGGTCAGGGGCTCCGCAGGTCCTGACGGGGGGCCACCTGGACTCACCTGGATCAGACCCGCAGCGGGGTTCCGCCTCTTCTCAAAGTGCTTCTGCCGGTGCTGCTCCTGGACTTTCAGGGCAAAGCCAGACCCCAAAATGCCCTGCAAGTCACCAGGGTCAGACAGCGCCCCACCCTTGCCTCTGGGGCTCCACCACCTGCCTCCTCAGCTCTAGTCACCTGAACACCAGGTGGGGGGAACATCTGGCTTTGGGATAAAGGACATGCCAGTTTGGGGCGTGGCGGGGCCCAAGCTGAGCGCATCCCTTCCCCGATCTGCCCACGCTGCAGCCAGCGCCAGCCAGGCTCTCAGCCAAGGACGCAGCCTCCCCGAGGCTGCCTGCGGCCCCCCAGCTTCCCTCGGCCCAGCCGGCCAGCCAGCCCTGGGCAGAGGAGGAGCCCTTACCCCTCTGCAGGAGACCGGCCCTCGGCCCCTGGAGACCTGACAAGGGAGCGGGTCACCGTGCAGCACTGACCCTGCTCACGAGGGCCCTGCTGGCCAGCCCTGCCCAAGTGGGTGGAGCTGATGCTGACCAAGACACGCGGGGTCAGAAAGCCACAGCCTGGGGGCTCTCAGAGCCCCCTGACGAGTGGTGTGGAAGCCGCCAGCTTCTGGCCAGGGCAGCCCCACTGGGAATCCCAGGAAGTGCGTCCCTTACCCCTGGGCTGCCACCTCCAGTGCCCAGCGGGCTGCGTACCCACATTCCCCTGGGGGTCACCCAGGAGCCTGGGACCTCACCCCCACCCAAGCCAGACAGGGAGTGGACTCACAGCAGGAAGAGCGAAGAAGGAGACACCGATGAGGGTGAACGTGGCCGCCAGGAGCCTCCCGTTCCAGGTCTGGGGGTACTTGTCCCCGTAGCCGATGGTCGTCAGCGTGATCTGCAAGACAGCGGGCACCGTCACGCCCAGGCCAGGCAGTGGCCACACAGAGGCCGGTGGCCCTGCACCAGACTCTCCTGCTCTGCCCCAGGGGGCTGAAGGCAAGGGCTCAGCACCCCCACAGGTCAGGCTGGACCCTGGGCAGTGGCAGGGACACCAACACCATGCCGCCCCCGAGGGCCCCGGTGAGGCCAGGACAGCCTCGGCGGGCCTTCAACCCTCCAACAAACACACCGAACTCCCCACGTCTCCCCTGTTTCCCTGATACGCAAGTCGGGGGGGAAGCATCTGAAGGTTCTGTCCCCGTGTCACAGCCAGGAGAGCCCAAGAGGCAGCTGACACACTGGGCACAGGACCAAGGGTGCGGCCGGCAGCCAGGAGGCACAGGAAGAGAGGGGACGGTGCTGAGAGAAAAAACAAGTGGGGAGGGGACAGGGGAGACGAGGGGCAGGGCCGTGGGCTGCCTTAGGGGGCGACTTGTACGCTCAGGCCAGGAGAGATGGAGGGGCCGTGAGCAGGGGCCTGGTGGCCCAGAGGGCTGAGTTTCCCCTTTACAGACTTTTCTGTTCCTCAAGGTGACTGGCAGGACTGCCCGTCCGCCCCTCCAGCGGGAGTCACACACAGGTAGGCCACAAGGGAGGGAGGGGGGAGGGAGGAAGACGAAGACACTGGCCACACAGGCCCCCAGGGCTGGGCCCCTCCGCACCCACCCACCAGCCAGAGCACCCGCCCCCGGCCATCCTGGGCGCCACGGCCCCGAGTGGCCAGCAGGTGGTCCCAGGGAGATGTCCCTGGCCAGAGAGAGCCCAGCCATCTCCAGTCCAGGCCCCGAGGGTCAGGGGCACACGGGGGTGTAGACGAGGGTCCCTGAAAGAGGACACGCGCCTCCATCAAGGACAGCGAGCCCCGGCCGGAACTCACCAGGCCCCACCAGAGCGCGTCGGCGTAGGTGTCGAAGTGGTCATTCTCACCCTTCTCCGCCAAGTACACCAGAAATGACGCCAGGATGAGGCACAGGAAGCCGATGTACCAGGCGGTGACCAGCTCCTGGAGAGTGGGCCGAGTCAGAGCGCCGGGACAGCATCCAGCTCAGCCCACCGGCCCCTGGGGGCTCTGTGTCTCCAGAGCCGGCAGCTGCCCGGCCACGTGGCCCAAGCTCACTCTCGGCAGGCGACGGGGGTGGCTGGTTGCCTGGGTGTCCCCACACCCGTGCACCTCACACCTGGGGGGACAGCCCAGCCAGGTCTGGAAGTGTCCCAAAGCAGCTGACAAGCCATCAGGCCAGAGAACTTTGGAACTTGAGTCCCTACCTCAACTTCCCTGAACTTGAGGGAGACTCCAGACTGCCTGCTGTCCTGGGGGGGTCCAGCACCTCAGCACCTTGGGGGACCAACACCCTTGGTCCTGCTGACTGAGCCCCCGCTCAGGACTCAGATGGGAGGGACAGTGCGCAGGGGTCGTATGGGCCCACCCTGGAGCAGGACGGCACAGCCAGGCCCGCAGAGTCTAGGCCTCTTGGTGGCTCCCTAGATGTGGGGAGGGGCTTGAGAGGGGGTGTGGCTGCCACAACCCTCGGGTTCCACTGTCAGTGGCCACCGCGGCAGCCGAAATGGGCGTGGCTGGGACATCGATGGGGCACTCCTACCTGGCTTCGGCGAAGCTAGCTGGGGCAGAGGGGCGAAGGGACCTCATGGGCCCTTCCGCAGGGGCCGGCTTACCTTGCTGTGGGCATAGACCACGGAGCCCAGCAGCTTCCAGGTGCCGCCGCGCCGGTCCATGCGGATCATCCTGAGGATCTGCAGGAAGCGCAGGCTGCGAAGCGCAGACGTGGCGAAGACGTTGCCCTGGGAGCCGGCGGCCAGCACCGCAATGGACGCGATGAGCACCATGATGTCTGCGAAGACGGGAGCTCGAGGAGGCTGCGGGCTGTGGGGCTGCCCAGCCGGGGTTCCAGGAGGGTGGACAGATGGACGGAGGCACAGGCAGAGTGCCCGGCGTGGGGACGGTGGCTGGTGTCCACCCAGCCCTGACCTGGGCCCAGCCGCCCTGCACCCCTCTGCCTCTCCAGCCGGGAGGCCAAGTGGGCGGAGCATCCCATGGTCTCGCCTGGCCTCCCCGCTCCTTCCAGCGCCCCTGTCCGTCCTGCACCCCCACGCGGGCTCACCGATCACACAGAACGGCTTCCGGGCGAACTTGAGCCGCCCCCTCCAGCCGCGGTACCGGCAGCAGCAGCCTGCGGCCCAGATGCGCACGAAGTACTCCACTCCGAACACCACGATGGTCACGATCTCCTGCAGGGGGCGCAGCTGAGCCACCGGCAGGCCAGGGCTACGGGGGGCGTGGCCTGGCTCCGTTGGGCCCTCCCCCAAGCCCCGGGCCAGGGCTCCCCAGACGTGCATTCTGGACTCGGGAGGCCCCTGTGTCCCCAACGGCAACACAGAGATTACACTGTGGTCACCATGGCTCCCGCCCCTGACCCTGGGGGGTTGCTGTGAGCGTCTCAAGCCCCGCCCCAGCCGTGTATGCCAGGGAACACCCCGCATCTCCACAGGGACTGGGCTTCAGGTGCCCAGTGCGGCTGCCGCACAATCGGGTGTTGGGGGGAAGGGCGGGGGCCCCGTGGCCAGAGGCTGCTCCCGCCCGCCCACGCCCACGGGCTCACCAGGATGTAGAGCGCGCCCTCCGAGCTCTTCTCGTACTCTTTGATGGTGGAGAACACGGACAGCACGAGGCAGGAGAAGACCAGCAGGAACCTGGGACAGGGGAGGTGCACTCAGCGCTGAGGCCGGGGGAGGGACGCAGGGCGGACACCCCACACTCCGCCTACCGGGCTCTGGAGACAATCTGGACTCAGGCCTGGCTCCTGGGCTGGAGGCAAGACCCCCACCTGCCCTGCAGCAGTGAAGGCAGGGCCCGCAAACCCCACGCTTGCTGTTCCTTGTTCAACACGTCCCCTCTCCAGACTCCGAGGCAGAAACTTTCCGTCTCCCTGTTAATGCTGACCTTCACACGCAGCCACCCCGGAGCCCTTGCTTGGGTCCGTGTGTTTCTGGCTCCCACCCCATGTGACCTGGGGTCCATGGTCGAGGGGTCCCATCCACGGACCTGGGTTTCTGGCCGCCCCATCGGTCCCTGACCATTGGGCACCAGGAACCACTGTGCAGGCAGCTCAGAGGCCGAGGCCCCATCCAAAGCGCCCACCAGAACCGGCAGGGTGGGGTGGGGTGGGGTCTCAGGCCCTTGACACCCGAGGACCTGGTCCCAGGCTCCTGAGGGGCACAATGCACACGATGAGGGGTCCGCACCATGCCCCTCTCACGTGATGCCCCTCGTCCCAGCCCCAGCTCAGCCTCCCCACTCAGACCCCTAGCGGGGGAGGGGGCTGAGTTCCTTCGGGGCCAAGGCTGCATGATCCACCCCCACCCTCGGCAACACCCGCTGGGCCTTCCTGCCTGCACCCAAGCCTGGGTTGCATCACGCACGCTCACCACCCATGAACCTCCGCAGGCCCCGCCTCCTGCCCTGCGCAGCGCGGCGACTGCGCCCAGAGACGCAGGCCTCCCCGTCCCCTGCCGCGGGGCAGATCACCCTCTGGGGACCGTGGACACGGCAGAGGCGCTGACAGAGGGGACGGGCACAGACAGCGCCTGCTGACACAGACAAAATGCCGCAGAGCGACAGCTGCGTTGCAAAACCGCAATTAATTTCCCTTGCTCGTTAGCCAATTTATTCAATTAACTGAGCCCTGGAAAAATGTCCAGATATCTCGAGTGCCTTATCTTCATAACTGTCTGGGGCATTTTCTCCTGGCCCGGCCGTGGGGAAGGAGCACCTGCACTCGGACTGGATCCACGGGGGTGGAAGGTGGGAGACTCCAGGTTGGGACCCAAAGGTTGGGCATGGGGGACATGGAAGGCAGCACCCATGGCAGAAGGGGCACCGAGCCTGGCCCAGCTCAGCACCGCGAGGCGGGAGCCAGGTGAGACACGAAACCTGGTGGGCTTCCCTGAGGAGGTGGCCGTGAGGACGCTGCTGCAGGGCAAGGTGGAGCCGGCGGGGCCCAGAGTGCAGACGGGTGGGGAGCTCCTGGCAGAGGGGAGAGCGAGCGAGGGGCGGCAGCTCCAGGACAGGACTGGAGAACCGGGCAGCAGCTACCCAACTCTGTGATGCCCGTGTGGAGGGCACTCAAAGTCCCAAGCTGACCAGACCCTCTCAGCCCTGCTTCCTGAGGGCCTTCCGGAACATTCCGGGATGGCCCAGCCACGCTGTGCAGGCCGTCCCAGTGGGCACTGACCTGGACACAGGGGACAGACAAGCCTGCCTCCTCCCAGCGGCCCACCCTGTAAGTGCCAGCAGCAGCTCCAGGCTTGTTTTTGAAGTTTTGGAACAGACGGTCACAGATGGCGCCCAGTGGGGGAGGCGTCTCGCAGACTCAGGAAGGAGGCTCCGAACGCCCACACCGAGGAGGAGGAGGAGGAGGAGGAGGAGGAGGGCAGACAGGGCTGCGAGCATCTCCTGTCACATCCCCAGAGCGAAGACGGCAGATCCCCACAGGCCAAACTTTCGGGCCCAGGACAGGAACCCCCAGACTGTGAGGCCTCCCCCAACTCCTTCCAAGCAGCCGAAAATCCAAGACAGGTTTCCAGACTTTTTCTGGTGGTCAGCACCTTGGTGACCAGCCACCGCCCCACCCAGCACACAGCAGCGTCTTGGCCCCCCAGTGGGGAACTAGAGTTGGGGAAACTGAGGCCTCTGTCCTCCTGGTCTCCGGGCACAGCCTCCTCAGGGACAGGGGGCACTTCACTGAGGTCCAGCCCTGGGGAGACGAATCTCAGACACGAGGCCCCACCCTCCAGCAGGATGATGGGGTGCCATCCACTGAGGGGTCACCTGGGCAGGTCTAGACGGCCACAGGCGCCCAGAGACGGGACCGTGGCGGGTGGTCCCCCTGTCTTCCCGCAGAGCTTTCCCGCCGGAGCATCCTGCGTGTGTGCGGAGAGCTGGCACCCCAGCTTCCAGCTCCTGTCCCCGCCCTGCCCTGGTGGCTCCTGCCCATGGAGGCAGCCTGTGTGCTCAGAGGGCTGACCCCCTCAGGCCACAGAGGACAAAAGAGGCTCCAGAGGACCTTCCTCCAAGAGAAGAGAGAGATAGGCAGGTGGGAGCCCTGGGGTCGTCGCCAGCCCCCAGCCAGGAACCCTCCAGGCTGTCAGGGGAGAAAAGACGGGAGACACTTGGGAAGGTGGTTTCCCGCAGCCCGAGGCTAATTATGATAATAAATTCAAAGTGGAGACCCAGTGCTGGCTGCGGTTGCCAAGGAAACAGCATCTCAAGCAGCTGGTCCCGATTCCAGGGGCCAAGATGGGCAGCAGGAAGGGCAGCCAGCGTGGGAAGCAACCTCAGACACGGCCAGCGCTCACCTGGGCAGCAGGGAAAGGCCCCCCACCCCACCCCCGCCACGGCTCAAGAGCGTCTGACCCACGCCCAGGCAGAGCGCCCCAGCCACTAGCCGCTGGGAGGGAGGCCCCGCCAGCAGCCAGCACTACAGGGCCCACCGCACGGGACACGCCTCTCAGCCAGATGTCGGGACTTCTGGGTGCAGAGCAGCAGAGGCGGGACCCTCTTTAGAAAGAGGAGGGCAGGGTCCTGAGGGCTGGGCGGCAGGTTCGGGGAGGTGGTGGCAGCCACAGCGGGGTCAGCCCCAGCCGCGCCTGCAGGTCCCGGGGCACACAGCTGCTGCAGGTGTGTGTGCGTGCTTGGGGGGGCCCTGCCTCCAGGAGGAGACCCCCACTTCTGTCCCCCTTCCCCTGTTCCCGCCCACTGGAATGCAGGAAATACCTCTTTTTTTTGGAAAACAGGACAAAGCCCATGCCACCCCCTTCCTGGCCCCCTCCACCAGGGGTGGGGGGCAACAGGGTGGGTGCCTCTGAGCAGCAGGGTGCAGCCCCCACTCCACGGCCCCCCAGCCCAGACTCCCTCCTCCCACCAAAGACTGACTCCGGGGTGACAGGGGGTGTCCATCTCATCGTAAGGGCACAGAGGACAAGTGAGTCCCAGTGGAAAGAAAGGGAGTCATATAACAGGGCCCCCCCTGCCTCCCCCGCAGGCTGCTCTCAGGCAGAGCCACGAGGTGGCTGGGGAAGGGCCCCCCCCCCCATCAAGCCCCCCACAGCTAAGGGAAAACAACAAAGGCAAGAAAACAGCTCCGTGGCCCTCCAGCCCCCTCTGACCCTGGTTGGCGGCAGGGTTGGCCCAGCCCCCCTTCCCCAGAGGGGTCTGCAGACACAACCCCCCCCAGGGCCCAGGCACAGAGGCCGCAGGAGGCCGAGCCTGGTGCCCTGCAGAGCAGTGGCAGCTGGGCTCCCTGAGGACCCCGCCCACTTCAGCCGGCCAGCGTGAGGGCTACGGCCAGCTCTCCGCCTGAAATCTAATTTGGTCCCCTAATAAACTGCTCTGCCTTCAGGTCCCAATGGCACTTCCGATCGGTGGAGTGACGAGCAGCCCAGCTGTAGACGGCCGCTCCGGGCGCAGAGGAGACGTGAAAGATGACTTCGCCAGCCCGCCAGGGTCGGAGGGGGCTGGAGGCCGAGTTCCAGAGGTTGCCATGCACGCGGACCCCTCTCTCAGGGCTGAGGCTCACCAAGGCGCAGCCCACCAGCCCACCCTAGGCCACCGGCACCCAGGTGAGCCTCCTAATCTGAGGGTGGAAGGTTCTGGTAGCTCCCACCTGAACCTAAGGGTGTGGGGAGGGGTGCAGGCCAGCACCCAGCACCCTGCCCCTACACACAAGTGCTCAAGAGAGACCTCAGACCTGAGATGCCACAATTCAGGGGGCGGGAGACCCTCAGGGTCCTGCCCTGGCTGGGCATTCAAAGCCTCCGCTACCTGCCTGGGTCCCCCATCCAGCCCTCCCCCTTCCAACACCAGGGCAGCAAGGGGCCAGTGACCTCAGGGTGGCCAGTGTCCCTCCCAAGCTTCAGCTACAGGACCCGGAGCTGTTGAGGTCGGGGTCCTAGTTGCCCCAGAAAGAGTGGGCACCCCAGGAAGCCCCAGGGATCTGGGGGTGCTCTGGGATCTGCAGGCTGTGTGGAACGTGTCCCTGCCAGGCCTGGAAAATGCCGGGGCTCTGGCAGGAGGCCAGCGGCCTCAGCACACGGCTTCCCAGGTGCCTCCCAGGCAACCCCCAGAGAAGGCAGTTGCTCACGGGGTAGTTTGCGCCCCATCAGCCACCTGTCTGCACAGGGACCACAGGGGTGGACAAAGGCTCACCCAGTGTCAGCCCCTCCACACCCGGCAGCAGCCACCCTGTCCCTGCCCTGGGCCCCCACCCTTCTCATAGACAACGACCCCACCCAGGGGGTCCTCCCAGACACCCCTGTCCCTCCCAAGACTGCATCTCAGCTCTCGCACCCAGGACGCTCCGACTGCATCCCGGCTCACCACGCCCCCACCACAGCCACTGGGGCCCCTCCCGCCCGTCCCTCAGCCTCACCTGGCAGCGTCTCTGCCCCAGGGACTTTGCACACACCCCTCGTTCTGCCTGGAATTTTCTTCTGCGCCCACAGCCACCACAGGGCCGCCTCCTCATGTTCCCGAGGTTCTGTTCTCAAATCATCACCTCCTCGGAGAGGCGGCCCAGCCCCCAGTTCCTCCCCCGTACTCTCTGGAGAGGAGTCCTGACCCCTGCCAGCCGGGGGTCCCCCGCCCTCCTCACCTGTCTTGCTCACTGGGCTCCCCAGTTGGAACCCACCCACAG